GAGAACCAGAAAAAAAGAGTACCCTAAAATTCCATAGATAAGAGCGGGTGAACCTACCNGGTAGGTTCACCCGCTCTTATCTATGGAATTTTAGGGTAAGTAGAAAAGAGCGATTTTTTGCCCAACGTGTTTCAAAGATTTGCAGCATAAAAGTTGCCGAGCAAATAGACTATTTGTAGGTAATTTAGATTACATGTACATACTAACTCCAATACCGAGTTATTTCAAACGTTGCCATGGATTGATGGGAATCCTGACACGCCATTGCTTTTTTACCATAAAAATGGGATGGGAGAAAGTTAGGATTAATATCAGCAGAAGTCAATAAAGTAGAGGTTAGCAAGAAAACGAAAGAAGAAAAACGTCTGGAATGGAATGCTCCAACATGTAGGAAGCGTAGGCAAACGAATTGATTCGTTCCCATCCATCCACCGATCAGCAACCGGAAGAATAACTCGATGATACGATCAGGTACGTCGATACCGTATCAACCCGTTAAAGGAATGCGCTCCCCACAGCCGTCTTCACCCAAATTAAAAATCATTCATGCGCTTTTACAGCCTGCTGGTCCTAGCAAACGAAATAACGTCAATCTACAAGCCATGTCCCACAGACGTCAAAAAGGAAACCCGCCTCCCTTCAACGGGAAGTGACGGTAAACCAAAATGGAACTTAACTGTGGGATGACATTGTCGGGGATGAAATTACTAATTTGAAGTTCTTAGACTGCTTCCTTAGAAAGTGAAAAAGCAGTCCTAGTGGGAACAGTACAGAAATATTCATTCCTTGCTGAGGATATCCGTTGCAAGTTAAGTATTACACATTTTGTAATTCTGTTTGGGGGCATACTGTGACACGTCAAGATAGACACAAAAATCGAGTTGAAATACGCATATTTTGAATTTTGGACAGTCGTAATATTTTGATAGAAGTTGAAATAAAGGAACCAATCTGAGGGCTACTCACTTCCGATCCCTCGAACAACGCCCCAACAGACGCTTTCGCCAGCAAAAGATTCCACGCATCCGAACTGCCCGATAGTGGGGACGTCACCTGAAATAACTGTTGAGCTTTGTGTATTTTATTGCTTTGCTCTTCCGACCCTCATGAACTTCTGAGTTTTTACTAAAGGACAGATCAAAGAGATCAACACAAGCACTACAAAAAGCTCATTTTTGGGTGAAAATGTAGTTGGGGGTGCCAGGCACTTTTGTGCTCTGCGTCTCTTCAATTCTTACATCATCTAACAATCTAACCCATCCCGGAGTCCTCCCCTTCTAAAAGTTAGGGAAGGAGCTCCGGGGTGGGTGTACCAATTGGATGTTCAATTCTTACCCAATCCCAGCTTTTTGCATGAGATAATCATCTCTCCCACCCTGGAGCTCCTTCCCTAACTTTTAGAAGTGAAGGAATTCATCTCTGCGATCTGTATGCACTCTGCCGCCAGTGTCAGGGACGCAGAGCACAACAGGGCGCTGGCACCCCCCAACTACATTTTCACCCATTTTTGAATTCACGTAACCCGAAGGAGAGCATGTGACTGAAAATTTAATGGTAAAACGATATATCGATAGTAAATATAAAAAGTGAGCTAGTAGAGCGGATATGTCCAGACATGAGTTCAGGTCTTTGCTAAAATCATTACCACAAAAAGATGAAATCACGTTAAAAAGACCTCCTGTTCATATGATTGCTCGTTCAAAGGTTAACACTGACTAGTACACAAACGAACGACGTGTGTCGAGCGAGACCCACTAATTCGGTGGACTGTCGCGATCTGCCGCTATTGCCAGGGACGAATACGAAGAAACTTGTACATCACATTCGACGGCTTTTGAAACCATACCTCTTGCAGGTGTTTACGACCCCACGGTGGTGTTTATGTACATCGGTCCTTTCCAAACTAAAACCACCCATGTAGAATGAGCAACGAAGCTGTGTTTGAAATCAGCAAGAAAAAGGACAGCTAAACTTTTTCAGCTCAGTACCGATGGAACAGACACTCGAATTGGTCACATATGAACCTGGGATGCAAGCCTAAGTCCCCTTCGATGAATCGGAACTGAATGACATCCGATTGTCATTGATTTCCGTTAAGTCGCAAGTCAAGCTATACCAGCTCCAGACTTCGTTAATTTGTAGGCTTTCCAACTACGGAAAAATAGCCTGGCATCTGGTGCTATCTTTGCATGTACTTACGAGCAGCCATGTTTCAAAGATGCCATTTTCGAACCATGTTACACTTCTATGTGCTTTGCAATCACGGATCAAAACTGCAATCCCGCTCGACTTGTGAGGAATTTGGGAGATACCACCAGCAAATACGACTTAAGAGTTCATCGAGCTGTGACAAACAAAAAACAACAAGCGAATGCATACCGCATAAATCAAATAATTACATAAAAGCTAAAATTAGGTAATGCAAAAGAAAGTGACTACCGCAACGCAACTACAACAGTTTTCATTCCGTATGGAACCCGCCATCTCGCCTTTAAGTGCGACCTATCGAGCATGGAATTGGAGCGCGCCAGTCGATGTTGTTAGATTCGTGGTTTCCGTTGATTTCTATTTCAAACTACGTGAACAGCAGCTATTAAGTACGAAATACGGGTGGTCAGTACGACAAATAAGTGTAGGTGAGAGCGAGTTTTACTGCAGTTTTTATTAACAATTTGTTTTTCCATTTGAGTAACCAACACCATTCAGCTACTTACTTTGTCGAAGTATTTCTGCTCAACTCTGTTGAGCGAATTCTCGAGTTTAAATTCAATACGACAGAAACTTGAAAAAAGTGCCGGTTCTATCACATTTTTTCTCAATTTTCATGGGAGTTTAGCGCAGTTATCGTGCCGATGTTGCAATTCGCAGCTCACCCGAGGCAAGATTTTGGGCAGCATTGTGGCGACACTGCCTTTAGTGTAGTATTCCGTCCACTGACGAAACATGTACTATAAAACATCTCTGAAGCTATTAAAGGCGCTCACATTACGTGATACGACATTTCTATTTATTATATCTGTTTTGGAACATGCTGATCGAAAATCGTGAAAACGCGAACGTACAGTTTCCATTTCCGAAGATGCGGTCAGCCAATAGATATTTCCTTACCTCACGCCGATCGCCCTCATGCGGATTTCCGATTTCCCAACTATGAGTAGATACAATATCTTGTCAGTCATGCTGCCAGTAGATTGTAGCGGCGTTTCTCGATAGCTGCCACCCTGCTTGTAGCAGTGCTCAGTGCATAATCGTATCTCCTCTATATAAGTTTGATTTCCCCCACATCCCTATTTCTCTGACCATTGAAATTCTTTGACCATTTTCTTTGAAATCTGCGGATTGTCTACAACATAAGGCTATTTTATCGGATATCCGAAAATAATTTTAGTGGCTGAATCAATCCATTTATACACAGCCCACTCATCTGCAAAGGGCATTATGTAGAATCACCCGGTGCACAGCTCACGTGTGAAATAGTCCACATCATCTTCATCGAATGGTTTGTCAGACTGAGCTCGCTGTTGTTCCGAAGTACACACCGGATCAGAAAATCGTCTTCCCGCCCTAGATTTTATCTTTCAGTGTGAGTAGAGCAGTTGAAGAAACAAAGCCCCAACACCGAAATTTATTCGGACCAGACTCGCTCCCCTTACAGGTACGTAGGAAAATTCCGTTGCCGTCAGCATCGATGAAAAATACAACCGACAAGTTGCCAAGAGACGTCTCTCTCGATTCTCGAATGATACATCAGCGTAGAATCATGCGAGCTGCAGGCAATTATCAACAAATATCCGCACTCGCATGCAGAGAAACTATGAAAGAAGTCTTGGAAAAGAAAAAACAACATTTCTGGCTGACGTAGACGAGAATGGCAAGAACATTTACCATGCCAGTTGGAGTTTCGCCAATTATAAGACAGAATGACTTCTCCTCGTTGCCCTAACGGAAACTGAACCACGGAAGACATTGGAGGTTGTCATCTAAAACTTCTACTTGCGTTTCTTTGGCAAACATGTTCGGTTGTTTACCCACCTCCCTAGGCTATCGTTACTCCAGTTCTCCTTTCCAAATTCAACATGTCATCATGTCGATGTAGAATATACAGCGCCCCGGTCCCAATAGGATTATAGGAAAACGTCTAAACAAGGTTTCACCAGACATCGAAACATTTATTCGAAATACAAGGCCTGTATTGCTGTATAATAAAGGAGATCCAGACGATCCTAGCAACTATCGGTCAATCTGAAACCGATCTGTGATCTAAAAACTCTTCTTCCCCTCTGATTTGTTAGCAGTAGAAGACTGAAAGTACTCTTCATGCGGCCACTTCCCGATTTCCGGCAACTGATGGTTTTTTTTGTTTAGACGGATTTCAGGGATGTGCCGAACGATAACGACCTTTAATGAGAGTGTCCCGAATAAGTCTCTAGGAAAACTCGTATCCCACAACAACATTATAGTTATTCAAATGAGTTTGTTCCTAACGTATGTTGTTTATGACTATTCTAAGTCTAATACGTATTATTTCACTACAGGCAGCTGACGTATAAGCGAGAAATTAGACACAGAATGATATCCACAATCAGACATGGAGTAATCATGTTTTCTTTTACGGGAAGAGAGTCCATAGTCTGGTGATCTAGGAGTATTATCCACAAAACGTACGGATCAATCCCGTCACCACAAAAAAGTGGCGAACTTTTGCATATATTGAGGCTATTTCGAGCTCGGTCTTCTGGGATTCACCACACTTTGGCAGAATGAAATAAGGTTTTTTGTTGAATCGTAAAATCCTCATTAAAAATTGACAATCACTACCAATACGTTGAAATAACTAAACTGTACATTTACAAATCAAGCAGAATCTTTCTATGAACTAATTATTTCTATTGAATATTTGTGTAGCGACTCAAATCGAAGCAATCAAATTGTCCCACAAAAGAATAGTTAGTGTAATAAAAAACATTACACAAAAAATAGATACTTACAATATTCGATCACTACAAAAGCTCCAAGCGACGTTTCCGATTTCTGTTCGTTTGTTGAGCACGGAGATATTCATGAAGGCGATCCCGGCATTTCACACTTTCCTCATACAACTTCTTTTCGAGGTTATCTATTTTCTTGGGAATTTCGTTTTCACGGTACATTCGGAGCACAATACCTGTAAAATTATATGCATGACGGAGAACATGTAAAAAATAAACAAAAAATGAGGGTGAAATTAGCTACACTTTCTTCTGGTCCTAGGTTTGAATATAGCAAAAAAAAGGTAAAAGATGGGCCTGAAGAGAAGCAACCCAAGCGTGGAAAAAAGCAGTCCCTGGTGAAACCCGCATGAGGCAATCCATTTTTAATGTAGATTATTTACAGGATATAAAATACCGTACATTCACTATTCACTTTTATCCGAACTTCTTATTGCAAATTCATAGCAATTCGATTGAAGGGATAAGAGAAGCAATTCAAAGACAACCCACTTCCAATCCGTTGAACGAAGGCCTCTAACAAACACTCCGCCAGTGCCACACTAGCTCCTTCGTCTATTGAATGACAAATATGCATTCCCATTTCGTAGTAATATGGTTGAAGCGCTTCTAAATCAGCATGAGCTGCGTTGGCCAGCAAGACGTTTCGCACGTTTGAGTTGTACGCTAGTGGGAGAGTTACCTAAAATAAAGATTGTTGATTTCATGTAGACATTTGCTTCATTAATCAAACAAACAACAACATTTCGTGTTTGAACCAGACGTAAAATCAAGGGGAACTTACACAAGCACTGCAGGGAGGATATTTTCTTACGTTTGATGATATGGTGAGGACTCTATGTTCGGTAAGACCTAGCTTCTATCCTACTTCGAACTCAGGGTCCAAGCAATATGTCCTAGGAGGCCGTTGTGATGGACCATTCTTCTCGGCGAGGGAAGAGGTGTTACCCATTTTCCACTGATGCACTTCGCCACCTTCCATCCTTTCGCTACTCGAGTGGAGCATATGAATTGCGGTTTGGCCTGATTCCAACGGCGAAGTCGAGACTTGTATTCGACTATCAACCACCCGGTGACGACACGGTATTTTAGTAAAGAAAGCAGCCGATTTTACGCTTTATGTAGCCACATTACTTCAGTGCTAAAAGTTGCAACTTTATGCTTTCGTATCTGACACCTTACGGAATCGGATGAAGCATAACACACTACCAACATAGTGCCGCAAAAGCTACAACTTCTCCTTCTTCAATCAGCCTACGACCCTTCCAGACTCTTTAACTCATGACTGTCTTAATAGTGGGTGGTCAAGGAATTCATAACAGTTTTCTATTGGAAGACGAGTGCTCACGCTGCATGGCTCATGAAGAAAAAGGAAGATGGATACTCACCGAACAAAATGGTTCCAGAGCTCGAACGAACCAAAACGGTGTCAGCACTCTGTATCCTTTTTCATCCGTGAAATGAGGAGCGTTTGTACCCAACAATTCATAAATCTCTGAATTAGAGCAAGCAATTTTAGATTCTGACACAACGTGATGACATGTCTATAAACTTTATAAAACCAAATTTCGAAATTTGTGGTCTACAAACATTTAATCGCATTAGGCAAAAGAATGAACAACCAAGGAGTGAAGAAGTAGGACGTGATTCATGACATTGGTAGCCCCTCCCCCCTCAATGAGAATGCGAGGGTCTCCTATTCCAGTGGGCTCGTGTGAAGTTTCTCAAAAATAACCACAACTACGAATTACTCAGATATGATTTATTTTCAGAAAGGAAAAGCGGGGAACTGCAAAGTTCCGCACTACTCACCTCTTGGAGTGTTGCTTCCATAAGTGCACGTTACTTTGGTTGAACGAGACAGCAAAGAGTCAATGTCGTAAAAATCAGCAGGGACTTCACTTTCATTAGCTGCCATCAAGAACAACCAGATATCTATAACAAACCCCATAGTTCGATTATCTAAATCAGCACTGGCGTAGCTTCAAAAATGCTAATCAGAGCAGAGTTGGCCAGAGCCTTATCGAATGTACGTCGCCTTAGCATACTTAATGACTGCAAGAGAGAACTTATATCAAAAGGAATAGCAACTCCATTATGAAAAAGATGCCGAAATGGAGAAAACCCAGGCGGAGGACTGACTGATGAAGTCAAAGTGAGGAAAAAGTGAGAATGTGCACATACACATCATAGAGACACAATACCTATACGCAACTAGTAGTAGACAAAGGTTGAAGACTGCTTAGTCAAACTCAAACCCATGAAATTTCGCGCGCTTTGGGAGTAGCGTTGGAGCGCGGTAATCGCAATACGATTTCCAACACATTCGTGGTCCAGCTTTTTATCATGCAAGTCAAATAGAAGAGAAAGGAACAACTCTCCAGCAATGGTGTTCCAGCCGCACAGAAACTAGAAGACTTACTAAAAACAACTGACGAGTCGGAAGTAAAAGATACTTCCCCTACAAAGTTTGATAGGTCGGTTACTGTAACAACCCACACCTTCCATTCCCTCAAGTTTGCTCTTACATAGACGGTCCCGAACTCCCAAAAATATAGATCGTCCCAGACTCCCAAAAATGTATCACGGTAAAATTCTGACAATCATAAGCATTACCACTTAATGTGGCTGAAAATCATCTCAAATCTACTAACACCAATATTCTACAAAGATTTTTCTATAAAAGATTAATATTTTAGCTTTCCTTTTCTATTTTTTCATGTCCTCTTGCTTCACTCAACCTACTCAACCTCTATAGCTGCAGGACACACCTGCCTAATTTCGGATTCTAGCATATTTCTGATCACTTGCGAATTTTTGATTCTCGAACCTCATATCTCAACAAGTCTCTGCAATCTGTCCACCATGACCGTTATACTTCCGGTTCCCTACCTATCCATTTCGGATTCAGAACGTCCCCTAATGCAGTTGTGAGTCTTTGGCTCCGCCTACCTTAACGTTTGCTCCGCCTTTATGTACTGTCACTCAATTGTCCTTCGCCTGCTAGTTTCTATCCAACTCCTTTCGGACATCGAAACCTTTTTGAATGTGGCAGTGCTTTTTGATCATAGCTTCGCCTACCCTGGCGCACGCCTCTCCCATCATTAGAAAGGAGCTATAATGATTTTTAATAGGAATTCGTAGCATGTTTTCGTAGCAACCACCATTCAGTTGTGTGCAGGCCGCCCCATCCGCTTACGATCTGTTTAAACAGCTCTGCACACATAACACCTTTCCCACCCCCATAGTTTTTTTTTGCAAAGCCGTTTTAAAACAAATCATGAATTTATGTAGCGAAACCGCCTATTTTGACCACACAACAGGGATGGGCCTCTTCTTCGGCAATTCCCGTTTTCGCCTGGTATCTGGGCTATTCAGGAACCTAGTTCGGATGTTTTGGCCATCTGCTCGGAGCCAGGTCTCTGCTGAGATCCCATGTGTACGTATATGTTGTTATATGCCTCACCTATGCCAAAGCTGATCCTGTCTCTCCGGGATCTTTTCAGGCACTGACGAATATTGAGACAGGCAGACTGGCAGACAAGCAAACAAGAAGGCGAACAGAGGAACAGACTGGCAGTGATTATAAACATATTCTCACAGAGTTCCAAGCCTAACTCAGCTTTATGGAGCCGCCCTATTCGTCTAGCGCGAGTTGCTGTAAACCTACCCTAGTAGTGAGTACTCTAACTAACGTCACTTGGAGAAAGATGCTTGAGTTATCCGATTTCTCCTGTTATCTAACGCATTAGAGTTTTGGAATAGCCTCAATTTCGTGAAAGCCTCAATTTAAGACAAAAATTTCTTGACAGTTCAGAGTTTCTCGGAAATTTCCCAGAAACTTTCATTGAAATACTATAGAAAGATTTTTTCATTTGTGCGCGCTTAAGGTATCAAGAGATTTCGTGATATTCCAACAGGTTGACCAGATCGGACTTCACCTTCAATTTTTTTGTTCCAGGTTGTGAAGTGTTGGAACAGCACGTCCACAGAACCCTTGAAGGGGTTTTAAGAAAATATACCTGACACAGGTTCCACACATTTCGACTAATATATATAATATTAGAAAAGTAAGAAGAGGTAGCCAGATATATTATGAGCGTATAAGTGAGTGATTCCTCATAGGAACATCAATGTCAATGGAAACTTCCGGAAAATTCCAAAAAAAAAATGGACTTTTTCGAATTTCTCGCAGATTTTTCCTTGCGACCTAATCGATTTCGAGCGAGGGATGGGCCAGCATCACTTTGCTGAGTATAATCGCGAACTAAACGCTTTGGATTTCGGGATATTGTTGATCGAATTTCTCTGAGCTGGATTGTGTCCAAATTATTCAACCCGATACAGCCAGGTGCTTTTTAGCGAGCCTGGTTGGTGCAGATGGAACGGCAGCTGTTGAAACCCAGCTCATGGTCATGTCTGTAATGAGCAAATAGCATCGGTCCTCTGCATGCTTAAGGGATCGCAAAAGAGGTGGAGCTTTGAAAAAGACGTCCGGCTCAGCGTCGTGCTTAATTTTTGCAGCTGAGGCTTGGCTGAGGGTTATTCCATTTACAATTTTTGTATCTTTATGGTCTTTCAGTGACCCACTCACTGAAGGAGCGCATTGAAGGAGACTGTAAACACCGAGGGTAGACCCTCTTCGCAGCTGATGGGCACGACAAGCACAGCGTGTTCCTCCGTCTGATCCCCTTAAACAAAATAAATTTAGCTTGACAAGAGCCCTGTAACCAAAATACTTTGCAGTCAGACAGAAAGTTATTCGAGTAACTATTTGACGACCAATAAATCGGTAAAAATCCAAGTATGAATCGAAACGGGCCCTTGATGACTTTTGGCACGGATTTCTTCGAAAACGTGTTCGAGTGTTGCACGACAGATAAGCTTTGCAGATTGAGGCATGGAAAGCGGTACTGCTAAGACTCAAACAGTCCCCGATTTTCATCGTACCCGATGATGTCACTGCGTGATGTTTGTTCTCATGCATTGACATTCACACGGACCGAAGATCCGGTGTAAGAGAAATAGAGATTATCATTGGCAAGGCCACAGCCGTCGTCGTTGTTCCTTACGTCATCGCTGAAATTGCGAAAATCGAATTATTTCGAGGGGAATCGTCAAGTGGTCGCATAAGAGGGCCTGAATAGACCTTCCACTGGTGAGTATGAAAACTGACTATGGATCGATACCCTAACTGGAATAAATAAAACGCATTAGCTCCAACTCTGAATACGAAATACAAGCACAATCCATTAATATTCATATATTACTATACAAATTGGATGTAATAAACTGTCCAAGTCAGATACTCTATGGCAACCAGTGGCAACCAGCCAGCTATTTACTTGGCTCCGTGCTGGTTTTAAACAGTCAGGGCTCGAGTCCACATTGTTCGTCAGTTTTCAGGCTACTGGCCTCAACCAGAACCTGACAATCACGTAAAAAAGTAAACCAAATCTGACATACACACGTGACCTGCCCGTTCTATTTCCTGAATTAGTTACATGCTTTATAAATCGATGACTGATGGTAAAAAGACAATACTAGCCGGATACTTTTCCTAAAATCACGAAAATATCAGTTTTTTGTACATTCCTAAGAGAAAAAAAGTACAAACACCCGCTGCACCCCAACATTCGCCCCGGCAAACCAGAAGCTCCAATTCGCGCCAAATGGCCAATTTGAATTTAGATGCTCAGGTTCGCAGCGGCAAAGAATGGTTCTATGCGACGGTCTTCGTCATTCTTTGCAGATTATGGATTTCTCAATTCTTTCAGCTTTTGCTATTTTAGCTGGGGTTTTCGAATAGAGCCCCAAATGAAGAGCCATGAATTTCGCCAAGTAGATTGGTGGAGTTTTCAAGTGGATGTTTTCGAAATTTGAGGTGTTTGTTGTGCAAATCCTGATGTTCTCGAACATTATTGTCGGATATTTACTTTGTTGTTTAGTCACGGACTGATTTAGCGGTTATAGGTCTTAACTTTTATGGCTCGAAATGAGTCTTCATCTCAGCCGAGTAGCTCGAGTAACACTCAGGCCTTACAGAATGGTGTTCCCAAGCAAGTTAAAATTTCAGTAAAAGGTGAGTTTTTTTTTCTACAAGGCAATTGTTTCTCGTTTGAGTACTTTGAAAAAAAAACTCTTTTCAGTAATCTCTGCAAAACTCAATGTTACGGGTGGTTTTTTGAGTAAACCTGCCGATTCCTATGTCGAAGTGTCCGTCGAGGGCAGTCAAAATAGCAAGAAGACTTCCGTCAAGAAGAAAAGCAACAATCCAGAATGGGATGAGACACTTTCTCTTCCAGTGACGGATTCTTCCGTTCTTCTCTTCCGTGTATATAGTCGAGCAAAACTTTTCGACGACCCTCTGATCGCTCAGGCGCAGATGAAAATCGCAGCAATACCGAAGCTGGATTCTGGGGAATGTAAGTGATTAATTTCTATTCCTATGAATGCATGGCTAATGTTCTTTTTTTGATTGAGCATTCGGGCTCAGTCGAGTGTCTAATCTTGACAAGCAGCACTTTAATCAATGTATTGCAGTTAATCCTACAGCAATCTCCATACAGCTTAATGGAAAGGACAATAATAAAGTTGGGACATTGAAAGTTGCATTTTCTGGTATGGAGAGAAGCCGAAGAATCGTTGGTGTGTTCCTCGATACTATGATTGTTATGCAAATTCTTTTGCTGCTTGTCGTAGAGTTCTTCCCGTCTTTCGTGCAGCTCGTTTTTACGTCATGACGTTTTGACAATAATTGAGTAAAATATAGCTTTTCTCTGGTAAACACTACCCTCTTCAGTATATTTCTAAATAGCAATTTTCGCGTTTCGAAATAAACTGGAGGAAGAAGTAATGACCAGCACAAATCATGGGTGTTTTCGAGCCGTTCGTAATCTCTGATTGATGTTCGATATTGATCGTGCGCCACGTAGTCGTTATCGCACAGCTGCTTTACATTCAGGTTCAAATGGGCGCTTGGCTGAAACTGTTGACGGCGAGGCTTCTACATCTTCGGGGGTGATGGCTCGACGCACTTCGGTGAAGAATCGTGATACAATCGCGCAATCTCAGCAGGTATTTTAATATGAAAGTATCGTACATTTGTGAATTTTCTCGATAATCGGGGGCTGCATGACTTATGTAGTCCTATTTTCTTCGATATGGTCCGTGTATTGGATAATAGCTTCATTTTCAGCCAGCCGCAGTAGAGGAGCGTCTTCCAGATGGTTGGGAAATGCGTTACGACCAATATGGACGTAAATACTACGTGGATCACACGACAAAAAGCACTACATGGGAACGACCATCTACTCAACCGCTGCCTTCAGGATGGGAGATGCGAAGGGATCCGCGTGGTCGAGTAGGTATTACGTCATTATAAGTTTGTTGAGCTGTGTTTGCAGTAAACATGACGGTTATAACATGACATTAATACATTTAGAAGGGGCAACATTCATAGTTTTTTGACGTTATAACCGCCGTTGTTCAGCGTTAGGCTGGAGCTCGCAGGGAGCCAAAGCGCGGCGTGACAGCATAATAGTATTCGAGACTTTTCTGCCTAAGTTGCATTGGATCGTCCCAGGTTCTATTTTTAGACTTTATTAGCGTTGTTGAAGTAAAAAGAGGATATCTCTATAAAGATTAATGGGAGTAGTCCGTGGAACCTTGCAGAAGATGGCTGCCTTTAGTCATGAGTTCATAACACTCTCAGGATGAAAACGCCGTGAATTTAGTTATGATTCTGCTCGAGGTCTTCCAAAAAGAAGTAATGTTCAGTTTTTATCTCATTTGATGGTGGCGGTGTCGGGCTGTTGCTAAGTATAGTACAATAGCATAGTTGTAGAAAAATTGATGGGATAACCAAGAAGTTCTGAAGTATGGTTGTTTCTTATTCTACGGGAGAGTGTTGCTTTGTCGCTTTGGTGATAGTTTTGGCGTAGTTTAGGCTGATAATTTTTAGGCGAATAAGTTGGCACCTTGGCGTGCCCCTCATTACGCCCACGGCAAACTTGAGAGCAAGTAGCTTGCGCCGAAGCGTACGCCGGTTCATTTTCGTGACTTGAGACGGTGGTTATTCTTGTTTACCAAAAACCAAACCATCTATCACATAAAGTTATTAGTGAGAATGTGGCACCTGCGCGATGACACGGCATGGCTCAGTCAGGTCGTTTTGATAGAATTGCATCATGAGTTTTATGGAAGAGAGAGAATAAGACAGAATCTGAGTTTGAATTCATGGTCTACACTCGAGCAAAGAAACTAACGTCGCAATTATGAAAGGGCTTGAAGCAAAGCACTTATGAAGCATTATGAAAGTGCTTTGCTTCAAGCCCTTTCATAAATAAGTGGAATATTTGAAATGTGAAGCAAAAGATTGGGAGTAGGTTGTCTTTTGCGAGTTGCATTGCCATTAGATCGTAGATTTCTCATCATTGAACAGCCTGCAGAGGATAATATTATAATTTTTCAGTGGAGATAAGCTCACGGTTCGAACTCAACCCTTTTGCACTCTTAATACGTTGCGCTCAAAACGAATATACTTTCAATGCATTACAACGTTTATTCTATAGCGGTCATCAATTCTTCTGTGATAGCAGTACAGCGTATTTTGTGCATCAGTGTACTTTATCGAAAGTAGACCTGCTTCATGAATGGTTGGGCGAATTATCGATTTATCTATGTCGTCAGCTTGTTTTTCCCCTCTGAAGCCATTGGAACAATGTGTTGTTACTACCACTACAATGTATTCAAATGTTACGCCGACATTATCGCCACCGCAATGAGTATGGGGAAAAGTGTGAAGCACAGGCCATTTGATGCTGTAACATTACATTTGCTCAAAGTTGTACTAAGGGAATTTTTCGATGTGAGCTGAAAAAAAAACTGTGGAAGGTCAGGGCAGGATTTTTATGGTTATATTGGGTCAGTGCTTTTTTTCATCTTAGTTGATTATTTTAGGTGTATTATGTTGATCATAACACTCGAACAACAACATGGCAGAGGCCGACGGCGGACATGATCGAAGCTCATGAGCAGTGGCAATCGGGAAGGGATCAGGCAATGCATCAGTGGGAACAGCGTTTTCTGCTTCAGGTAGTTTCTCTTCTGGTGTTATGTATTCTGAATGTAAAATCATTTGAATACTATTGATTCGGGGCGTTTCCAGGCCAATTCCTTAACAGCCAGTGACGATCCTCTTGGACCATTGCCGGACGGTTGGGAAAAACGGGAAGATCCTAAAACAAGGAGAGTTTACTTCGTAAATCACGTGAACAGAACGACTCAATGGGAGGATCCTCGGACTCAAGGGTTAGTTTTTCACACATAAGTTGGGATCTCCTTAATTCACTCGTCGTTCAAGCCCGCATAATCGGATAGCGTGATTCCTTCGGTAAAAGTTTTCGAATACGTCCAAATGCGTTATCTCTAAGCTTTGGAAAACTAGCAATTACGACGGCACACGCTAATCCGTTATGAGGACGGATCGATTGGCAGTGAGGCTATTGGAGCAATGTGTGGCGCAATTACTAAGTTGTGGAGATTGCACATACACATAACATCGTTCGTCTTACAGAGTATCGGATCAACCTCTCCCCGATGGATGGGAGATGCGTTTCACCGAGCAAGGTGTACCGTTTTTCATTGATCATTCCACTAAAACCACAACCTACAATGATCCACGTACCGGAAAACCTGTTGGGCCGATGGGTGTGTTTGGAGTATCGATGTCATATGAAAGAACATTTCGGTGGAAAATCGCTCAGTTTCGCTATTTGTGCTTGGTGAGCCGTACACATTTTGTTTGTCTGTGAAGCTGATGCATTTGCTTTTTTGCAGTCCAATAGTGTACCGAACCATGTGAAGATAACAGTATCTCGCACCAATGTTTTCGAGGATTCATATCAAGAAATTATGCGTAAAAATGCTGTTGATTTGAGACGCAGACTGTACATACAGTTCAGAGGAGAGGAAGGATTGGATTATGGAGGAGTTGCTAGGTATCTTTGTTCCTCATCCTACTTTATGGAGCCACCTAAATATCAATTGAATCTATTTTGCAGAGAGTGGTTTTTCCTGCTATCGCATGAAGTATTGAATCCTATGTACTGCCTGTTTATGTACGCTGGTAACAGCAACTATAGCCTTCAAATCAACCCGGCTTCATTTGTTAATCCCGACCATTTGAAATACTTCGAATACATAGGAAGGTTCATTGCTATGGTGAGTTCGGTGATTTCTGCCATATTCAACTACTGAAGTTTTTTACTGGTTAGTGATTTATCAAAAAATTTTATTGCGTGGTGAGTTGAAATAAAGATGGAGATGGATGGGGTGACCAGATTATAAAGGAATTTCTTCTCAATTCGCTACTTTTTTTCTGTGGTTCATCAAAAAACAATATGAGCTATTGGAGGCCATAAAGAGGCGCCCTAAAATTAACGAAAAGTTCAAACTGTCTTGAGTTATCTTGATAGTGACTTTACTTTCTCGGTGAGTCAAGCTTGCGGCAGAACTTGCGGTCCTGGTTTTGTCAAGTACTTATGGTTAAAGTAGTAGTCAATGCGAAAACGATTTAGGCAATTAATTTGTAATCTGATTCCGAGAAATTTTGTTTATTACCGCTCAGCTTTTCCAAAGCTGCGGCATGCTGAAGCAAAATGATCTAATCGCTACCCTGATAAGTGAAATTGAGCAGAACATAGCTCTGTTTATAGTGTTTATTAGTTTTGGTATAGAGACTCAGCGCTGAGTACACAATATTCACAAATCATAAACAGTGCATATTGTTCTCGTGACCATGAGTAAGGTCTTATTTGAAAAACCTTCGAAACCTCATTTTTCATTTTGAACAGTAAAATGATGAATCGGAGTTACTATTAAAGTTCATTCTCCCAAAGCTTTGTTTGGACATTTTACTTACAGTGAAGCTATTTTATTCGCTTTATATTTTTTCTTTGAATGCACATTATTTGTTCTGACCGGTGTGAAGTGGTCCACTAACCTCATAAACTTCAGGCACTTTTCCATGGCAAATTCATCTACTCAGGCTTTACCATGCCGTTCTACAAAAAGATGCTCAGCAAGAAAATCGCCTTGAAAGACATTGAGCAGGTTGACACGGAATTTTATAATTCAGTTATGTGGATCAAAGACAATAATATCGATGAGTGCCAAATGGAGCTATATTTCGTTGCGGATTATGAGCTGCTTGGCGAATTGAAAACCCATGAGCTGAAGCCAGGTGGAACAGATATTGCTGTGACCGAAGCGAACAAGCTTGAGTACATCTCGCTTTTGGTAGAATGGCGTTTTAATAGAGGCGTGGAACAGCAGACGAAGGCTTTCTTCACCGGCTTCAATTCGGTATTCCCCCTAGAGTGGTTACAGTACTTTGATGAGAGGGAATTGGAGCTGTTGCTGTGCGGCATGCAAGATGTCGATGTCGATGACTGGCAGCGGAACACAGTATATCGTCACTATGCGCCGCAAAGCAAGCAAGTTGTTTGGTTCTGGCAGTGGGTCAGAAATCTTGACCAGGAGAAGCGTGCACGACTTTTGCAATTTGTTACTGGCACTTGTCGTGTGCCAGTCGGTGGTTTCTCAGAGTTAATGGGTAGCACTGGGCCGCAGTTGTTCTGTATTGAGCGAGTCGGTAAAGAGAACTGGCTTCCACGATCGCATACTTGTTTTAATCGTCTCGATTTGCCACCGTATAGGAGTTATGAGCAGTTGTCTGAAAAGCTGAACATGGCAATTGAAATGACAGAAGGTTTCGGGAATGAGTAATGTGATATTGTGATTATCGACTTATCTGTGATAACAAAGCTATAGTTTACAGTTTCTAATACTGCACATAGTTTTTCTTTCTTACTTTCATTGTTTTTAACCTCCTTGATAGCACACCATATAGTCGTCGTGAGTTCCTTTAAAGGTTGTGAACAAGTCGAATACATGTTTGTTTTATTGTAGGATGCAGTTTTCTACTTAAAGGTGTATGGTTTTATTTCACATAATAGTCAGTTTGTATACAAGATTTTCTTCACTTGCTCTATCTCTGTCACTGGTCATTGCAGAGAACACTAATAAATAAGGAAACCTTCATGTGTATAGACAATAAAGATTGATAGTAGAGGTGTTGTTATTATGGTGATGCTCGGATGTTTGATACCGTGATCATATTGTCGTTATTAGCTACCATATCTTCCACAGCTATAATGCCTTGCTTCATGATGTTCTCTCTATCTTTGAGGGTTAGTTTGTCAGTATGGTCGCGAAGGTGGAAGTTGACGCTGCGAAGAAGGAGGAGATGGAGAAGGTGGGTATCAGCTGGTAATCCTTTTGGTTTTTTTCGAAATGCTGGGAAACTTGTTTCCCTCATGCAGTTTGTATAATTTTCGATTAAGGTGGTGGTCGAAGATGGATCTGATGATTCTGATGATGACGCACCTGGTCTAGATGGAGAGCTGACGGAGGAGCAGAAGAAAGTGGCGGAGGCGGCGGGACTTGGAGATCAAATGGATAAGCAAGTGAAGCAAAGCCGCTCTGAGAAGAAGGTAATTTCTAATTTGTGTGCATTTGCGAGGTGGCTTTTTCGAGCCTTCCATCGCTTTATAATGCATACAGGTTTATTAAGAGCTACTTAGCAGTCAACCTTATATAACTGGTTCGTCAACTTGTGAGCAGTTTTGGTGATTAATTCATTTGTTGGCGACAGTTTGTTTTGCATGTGCAGACGGTCTCTGGTTCATCAAGTCTGAATTGTTCATTAGTTAGTCCAGAGAACATATGAAACGTTCTCGGAAGTTAACTACACTTTCAAGGCTATAGGAATACTACAACATTATCGTTAATAGCATGCTGGAGCGTGGTTTCATCATCAACCTTGCGCTGATTTGATCTTCGATTAACGAAGGGGACTTGATTATACGTAAAGCGTAACTTTGTCCTTTTAGGCTCGCAAGCTCTTCTCAAAGTTGGGCTTGAAACCGGTGACTGGTGTCTCAAGAGTGTGTATTCGTAAGTCGAAAAACATTTTGTTCGTCATCAACAAGCCAGACGTCTACAAGAGCCCTGGTTCTGACACGTACATTGTTTTCGGAGAGGCCAAGATTGAAGATCTGTCCCAACACCAACAATTAACTGCCATTGACAGAATTAAGCCCAGCGAGGACACTCCTGTTCCGTTGGCCACTGTTCAAGAGGATGAGGATGATGGCACTGAGGCACGTTTTTTTTTTTTTTGTTTGCATGACCACACTCGGAAGAGTTGATGGAAGGGTGGTTTCTGAAAGTATGGTTGCTTACAGGAAGATGCAACCGGTATCGAGGAAAAGGATATAGAGCTGGTCATGTCCCAGGCAAATACCTCCCGCAACAAAGCGATTAGAGCCTTGCGATCTGCCGACAATGACATTGTGAACGCGATCATGAGTCTAACGATGTAGCATTGTTTTGATACTCAGTTTATTGTTCTGTCTTTGTTGCCTATGAAGATTACATATAAACAATTTGCACTTTGATCGCGTATCACATGAGCAGTGCCGGAGCCGATCTGTTGGTACGAATCTGTCAGTGACTTAGGGTACAGTTTTTATAGGTTCAGCTTTTTGTGCGGTTCTTTGTAAGCCTTGTCATTGCTCTTATTCAAAGACGTCTCAAATTCGGTGCGGGTGATCAGCACTCTTTCTAGAGTTTCGACTTGTAAAAAAGGTTGCTGGCTTGTGAGTCACTCAATATGTTGAAAGTTTATTGTATAAGTGGGGCACGATAAAAATACCAGAAATACTTTATTTGAATTGGGCAGTTCATGTAACACGGATCGCTTGACGAGTAGATAGTTTACGAAGAGCTGGAATCGATATCGAAATACCTAAAAATACAGAAGCATTACATAAGGTAAAGTAAGCTACAGAATTGGTTTTCATTGGCTAGAACTACTGGCGAATAGGGTGGCAGAATGTTTTCGGTGATTGCGACCTTGAAGGACTTTCCAGAGATAGAAAAATTGCAGAGATGCGCACGTAGTCCCTGAATTCTCCAAATGGCAATATTAACGAATTACGGTCTTTTTTTTTCATCAAAAAGAGCGAACGAGCAATTTATCTTTGTGACGTAGCGTATGCACATTGACCTTATCAGTCACGTCGCCATCGTGCAAATGCCAGAGCAGCTCGAGCGGATGTATCCTGTAGTATAAGCGCAGTTGCGAGCCGTAACTTATTCCCTTCGCTCTTTAAGAATTCGTGCAAGTACTGAGACTTTTTAGCGAGGGCTCTTTCCAGTGCCTTACAATAGCATGGCAGAAAGCTTGAAGGGTGGTAAGATGATGTGGTATATCGCAATCCACCTTTGTCCTTCCTTTTACATGGAATTCTAGACGAAAAAGGTAAGATGGGGAAGCAATGTGAAGAAGCATTACTATCGTGTAGGAATTCTTAAGTGAGCTACTAAACTAGGAAAGATTGAGGAAAAACGAGTAAAAGGTCATGGAGCAGAGCATATGTTCATGGTAATCTTAGTGCTGACGAATGAGCAGTGGTGTTTGAAATAAAGTCACCCACTTTATTATCCGCATGGACTTGGACATGCTTGCACTCCGCAGCAACTTCCACCACCACCTCCTCCTCCTCCGAAGCAAGCCAATGACGGGAGGACTAGAAGGAAAAGGCAAATGAGGAGCAGAATCTGAAACGATAACGATGAGGTCGTTACTAAGGGACGGTAGAGTCGTCATCAGTGATCTATGGTTAGATTAGAGGGAGCTCACGAGTTGAATCTGCTGAGCGAGCATTGGTGGCGAGTGGCAACTGAAGGCGTCGAGTGGACGAATCTGAAACACAGCGACAGCTTTTATTCGGCAGAATCCGGATACTGTCGTAACTTGAATACGTCGTCGATTCGCCTCACCGCCCTTGACGATGCCCCGCCCACTTGGTAGGCTGTCCAGTGCGTCGGTTAGCATAACACCACGAAATCCTGACTGCGATCACATTGTGCTCGATGTATGGATCTAAGCTGAGGGCAGCGCCGTAAGGGGATCATAACAATGGAGCGTTCTTGAATTACAAATGAATTGGAAATCAGAAAGGCGATTGGATCGATAAATTTTTAGAAACCACTTTTTTCCTCTTTCGTGAAGGTCAGCAGGTTTGCGTCATGTTCTTGCTCGTGCCATAGCAATCACAAAGTGCTGTTTTCACGAATGTGAATCGGATCGAAAATGGGAAGACGGACTGCCGATTTAAGTCTGATCTGATTGATTTTGCATTGAAAATGAGAACCTGTGTTTGACGAAATTCTTTTTCGACCATCCAAAAATCGACCTGTTCGCAAAGAACTTTGGGATTCTGTGGGGTGCAGGTGTTTTGAACGGGTGCGGACTTGGTAGGGTGCTTCGTAGCCTGCTACGATAAAATCGTGCCGTGCAGCTGGCAATATCTTCACTAGATTATGATGTTTTATTGTGTTTTTATAAGTTCGGCATACAATAAGAGTGAAAAACCTAAACCTCTCGTTCTGGACTCAAAACCAGTCCTATTGATAGGCTTCTAGAGAATCATGACATTATCCTCACAAAGATACTGAGGGCTATTCCATCAAGGCAATCCTACGAGCTTAATCCCGTTATCTGATCTATGCCATCAAAGCCAAATTGCATACTGCCCAATCTTTTGCTGTCTGCAAACGGACAAACCTGAATAATAGTCTATGCAAGCCGTAGTGCTTAACATTTGAAACTTTTTGGAGGGTTTTTTATCCGGTCGCCCACTACTTATACTAAATCTCTACCATAAACTTTCTCACATGTTTTACATTTTATGCCCGCCCCCAACCATTTTCCTCCTTGGCCCCCGCCAATAGGACGTCGAACCTATTGGTTTCTTGTAGTTATTCCTTCACCATACACCCTGCCCATGGACACCTTCCTTGGTTTACTAACTTGCGAAACGACAACAACGAAGTATTCGTTGTTTCGGACCAGGTAATGCGATCTTTTTTGGTTGTCAGTGGCCATTAATTCGAATTCCATTGCATTTCCCTAGCACTTTATTCGTTGTATCATTTTTATATTCATTATGTTCTTAGGAACCGCTGTAATTGTCAGAATATAGGCTTTTACGCCTTTATGGTAACGTCGTGTGATTGCATATCGTGCATCTTCAGGTTTCTCATTCAGGGAAGAGGCCATGCGCTCCGAGATTCTGCAAAGGGTTTAATGAAAACCCTTGGTATGATGGAGTTTTCGCGTACAAGGAGATCATTGAGAACTACCGAGCCAAGGTGTCATCAGTCCTACTGCAGAGGCAGTTAGTCTTTAACTTTTCTTTTTTTGTTTGATGTGGTAATGAGCTAATTAGCGGGCTACAGTCTAGTACCGAGGGTTATTTTTTGGAGTAGACGCGAAAGAATCGATAGCTGGTACAAAGTTCAAGTATTTTTGAGCAGAAAATGATCTCAGTCTTATCAAATAACTCATTATGTAAGCTTCCTAGTTGTTTTACTCATGCTCTTGTGCAGAAATATCTTAGAGTAATAGGGCCTACTGCCATTCTATCGTTACTTTTAATGTACTGTTTCCTAAAGTGATGAGTAATCCGAAGACATTGCTGGGGGTGTAAAAAGAGTTTGAAGAAGATCCGGTGAGTCATTTTCACCTTTACCCTTCACTTGCGTTACTGTTATTCCAGTATCTTCTTTCTTTCTTACATACATTACTGCTGATGTTCACATTTTCTCATCTTATTCTTGAGCACAGGAGCTATTCTACAGAATGGTAGTAGGGTTTTTAGATGTGTGAAATACTGAATAGAGTAGTATTATTCATGCGTGGCTAGTTATACTGACGTAAGAACTGGCCGCGACTAGCTAGCCGACTGCCAAACTAAACCAGCTGGATTGGAAAAAAAGTGCGGCTTTTCCGTGCGGTTTTCTACATCCTTAAATGCGTGATACATGTTTTTATTGTGCTCGTCCAAGCAATTAATTTCGTATTTTCTTTAGTTTGGGCCAGCTGTAGTGCAGATTGACGATCATGCCCACAAAGACGAGTTTTTTGCCTCGATGCCGGGTGGTCGTTCATCACTATGTAAATGAGATTGGCGGCATTGGGATGAGTTTGTTGCATTTAAATCACGACTGGTTACGTGAATATAGTGATAGCGTGACGTTACGATGGTGACAATAGCCGTACCGGAATGCTTTATGTTCCATTCGGCTGGTTTCTATACTATATTACATGCCAAAACAGTTGTCTTGAATGACACTATGTCGACCGTTTTACGGTATTACAGCACCCTTATCCTTTCGTACGATCACAGTACTTTTTATTTGCATAAGCTGTGACCGGGGGAACGTTCTGATCCACCCACGCAAACGATCATGATTTTTCCGATTGCGCTGTAACTGTTCGGTGAATGATCTCGAGAATTTCCCTTTATCAGATTGTAAACGGGAGGTGAAGCCCTTCCGTTCTGTATTTGAACGAGCGTGTACCTGATTGGGAAAGAAATGTTACAGCCGACTTTGGGAAGTCTCTAAACCTACAACTGCCTCCTGCATCGAGCATGACTCCAGACTTCGAGGCTGGTTTTGTCAAAAACGGGTCGAATTAGCAAGTCGTTTTGCAAACGTTCATTGAATAGAATTGACCTATGTTCACTGTACGGATGAGCGGACGTGAGTCGGCCACGCAGTCTGTCACCAGTTATTTCACCTACCACTCAACTAATCCTTGTGTCTTGCAAAAATAGGCACCGTCTTTGAAAAGTTGCATGCCAACAAATATCGCAGCTGGTTCGATTAGTGATGAGTGACCTCGGCCTAGCTCTCATCGCTAATGTTCGCCAAAGAAAAACGAAATGAGTTACAAAGAACCATGGGCAAACGGCGGTGGTTACGTAGAGAGCAGCGCTGTGGAAGTCACATCAATCACATCGAAGGTTCAATGTTCATCCTAACTACTTACTCCATGGTCACACTTTATTGTTTGAATTCTTGCTTTTTTTGCAATCGGAAGAAGTGGTGTGAGAGAAAATTAAGGCAAACAGAAACTAAGCAATCTTAATTATTTTGACCAATAACTTTCGGAAGGTTATTGGTCAAAATAGGTAAAAGGGCAATCAATACTTATACGGATTCAGATAGATTTCGAGCATGCATTTTCTATAGCAGCAATGATAAGTTTGAGGTAATAAAGTTTTTGGCGTTAATCAATCCCGTTGGAGGGATGCGCTCCCGCACTCGACTTCCATTCAGAATCGTAGCGGCGTAATGAGTGCTTATGTGGCCTATACAATGACTTGCGGTGGCCAGCCGATGTACAAGTCAGTGCTTTTATCCTCCCAGACGAATCCGGGANCAATTAACCGACCCCGGAGGGATGGAAGGTTGGTTGGCCTAGGCGCGTATCGATACGGGATTCGACCCTCTGACCGTAAGTGTGAGATAGTGCTCCACTTGGCAGTACACCACCTTCGCCCTTACAGCAGAAATTATAATCTTGAATTGATCATTAGGGGTTGATGTGATCATGCGCTCTAATCTAGGTCTTTCTGGGATGAGGGGCTTCGATTGTCTGCGGAACCGTTTTGGCCGAACATCTTTCATCATGGTAGCCTACCCAGCGTGGTCAGTGTGTTCGACCTGTTGTCCGAGCTGAGAGGGTTACGTTTTGGTTGACGCGTTCAGCTGGCTTCAAGTATTCAGTGCATAACTTTACATATGTTAATGTCCAGTTCGATACCTGCTCTGAGGTGCTTAAGTGAGTGGTATGAGTGGCGTAGGTTCTTTAGTCAAAGTATTCCGGCCACCTTCCTGTAGCCTGAGCTACGCAGCGTTCTGACTTGTAGGATTTCTTTTTTATTAATCAATCTAACTGAGTTACGTGGATGCTGGTTTGAAGCTCTTTGGAAAAATGAACTGTCTTAAGAAGCCGATTGAAAATTTTTGTACCACCGGTTTCCCTCGGCTACTTAATTACTCCCTGTAGCTCAAAGTGGAACTACTTCAAAGAGTAACCAGCTACACTTACGGAATGTAATGGAGAATAGCCTAAGAATAGTTTCATTCTTGAGAAAATCCGGGCGTCGTTTCGTTTAACGAGTATTTATTGCCCCATAAAAATAAACTATTGAGACAGCAAAGCGTGTAGGGTGTGGGTTTTTATGAATCCCCGTTCTCCACTCCATGTTTTTCTTCAGAGGAAGCGATTCAAGTGGTTTTGGTTACATAAGGAGAAGTCCATCTTCACCAGCTCTCCCCTATCCCCTCAATGAGATTTACACTTTCATGGATTTCTACTAGAGCGACATCAGCAGAAGCAACAACGAGGTTTATCCATAAACTGCTAGGAGGAAGAAAAATTCTGAGAAAGGGGTGGGGGGGGGGGGGGGGGGCAAAGGAAAATCGTTGTTCTTGTTTTGACCTTTGGAAAGCTTAGGGACCATACTTTTCCAAAGGCACTGAAATCGTAAATTTCTGTAGCTTTGGGACTGAGGCGACTATACGCACCGCTAGCGTTTATAGTCATTTATATTCCTGGATTTCGCTCATCAAACATACTATCCCCAAAATTTTCTGGTCTAGAAAACCTATCTATCCCTCTAACTGGATACTTATATTTCAAATGGAAAGTTTGGGGACCATGAATCATAGTTGGGACCAATGGAACGTCAGATGAACATTTAAACAGATTTCTTATGGGTAAATAGTAAACACTTCGAGAAGCATATGAAGTGGTTATTGATCGAAATCGGCTGGTATCCTTTTTTGGTGGGGCAGCAAAGTAAGAACCTTCCTGCTCTTTTTAGCTCCTTTTTAAGCGAATTCCTGCAATTTACCTAGGCATTGGCATTAAGGCTGAATCATGGCTTACGTAGACCCTGTTGAAATCATTAGTGCAAACAAATTTGCTTATGGTGTCTGGCAGGCTTCCTATTTCGTCGAACACCGGCCACGCCATAA